CAGCAGCGCAGCTCGGCTATGGCTGCGTGCTCCTTCCCTGCTCGCCCGTGAGAGCGTAGGCGCCAGCCAGCAAATAGCGCAGCAGCGCTTGCGCAGCATGCAGCCAGCACCCGAATGCCGAATGAGGAGGCAGGCCCTTTGCTTTATCGAAGTGGCCTGCCTGCGTCCAGTCCCAGGAAGCTTCCAGTAGGCCCCGGTAACCTGAGGCCCAGCACGTCGAGAACAGGCCTTGGGCCTGAGGTATGTGCCCAACTGCCTTTGGCCTGTGTTTGGCCCAGTACCCGTATCCAGCCCAGGGCCTGCTGCACATACATTCACACCGGCGGCCCAGGGCCTGGGTTCACTCAACCAACTGGCGCCGCGCAACTGCCTGAATTTCCCTGAGTTGCGTGGTGGCCAGAATAGGGCCCTGACGGCCTCGTCGAGCCTGCCTTCACTTAGGGCGGCCGACGGTCTGCAAAATGGGGCCTTATAGGGCTCATAGAGGCAATGGCCTCGCATTCCCTCCTCCTTAGCTTCAACAGTCCTCTGAGAAGCTCGGTCTTCAATCATAGGGCGCTTTCCCTTCTGCAGAGATCTCTCGTATTGGGTTACAACTTGAGGAGCGGTCTGCATGAGCTCTTCCCTGGTGAACCAGCGGTCCTCCTTCGGATCAGTGTGATGCCGAAACCGAACGCGGTACTGCAACTTCGGTTTCAGAGGATGTCCCCTGCCTGTTGGTCTAGATACCGGCAGCTCTCTGCGATCCACAATGTCATCGATGTCCACCTCTCCATCCATGGTTGGGGGCAGCATTGAGCGACGAGATGGAAACTGATCAATCTCTTTGAATGGTGCCAGCTTGGAGGCGTGAAAGACAGGGTAAGTACGGAGATGACCAGGGATCTGGATAACATAAGATGGCCCATCCGGATCTATCCCGACGATGTCTAAGACTTCCCAAGGTCCAAAGTACCGGGGCATGAGTTTGTGGGAGATCCCGTACTCCTGTCCTAGTTCTGAAGATTTAACCCAGACCCTATCCCCAACCTAAAATGTAGAAGGCCGGCGGTGTTTATTTTCAGACTCTATCATTGCTGCCTGTGCCTTTTGCATCTGCTCTACTGCCTGCTGCATTTCTGTTCATATCTGTAGGCAAACTCTAAAGTACCCGGTGCAACAGTTGTTTGATTCTCAAGAAGGAGAAAGTCAAGGGGTAGTCTAGGCTTGAAAGTCAGTAGTAAGTTGTTCGGGCTCACCCCAGTGGCGCTGTGTACAGCATTGTTGTACAGGCTGGCGATGAGAGCAAGCTTCTCATCCCAGTCCACTTGGTTGGGCTTCATGTAGTGCCTCAACAGGTGTTGCACAGCGCGATTGAGTTGCTCTGCCTGTTCATTGGCCTCTGGGTGATTCCCAGAAGTCATCTGCAACTGAGTTCCCTGCTCTGCAGCAGCGGCCTTCCACAACTCGCTGGTAAATCGGACATCCCTGTCACTGACAATAGACTTCGGTAATCCAAAGTCTCTAACCCAGTTCTCTTTGAACATCCGGATCACATACTCCGTCTTTGCTGTTTCCGACATTGGTACTAATCTAGTATACTTACTAAATCTATCCACGATGACGAAGATGTGACACATCCCACTCTTGCTGGTGATCAGAGTATCCATGAAATCCATGGACAGACTCTCACCAGGCCGTTCCGAAATCGGAAGGGGCTTCAGAAGCCCAAGAGGAGCCTGAGTACGTGGCTTGTCCCGTTGACAAACTTGACAAGTCTCCACGTACAGCTGGGCATCTCGCATCATCGAGGGCCACCAGAACCGCTGCAGCAAGTTGGTTGCGGTCTTCTTATACCCAAAATGGCCGGTGGCATCATGGAACTCACCTAAAAACAAACTACGCAAAGACTCGCTATTTGGGACACACAATCGTTTATTCCCGTCCTTCTCAAGGAACAACAAGCCATTGACCAATTCAAACTCGGCAGAAGTCTTGTTGTCCTTCGCCTCAAGTCTGCGTATGATCTCAGACATGAACTGATCCTCGCGATAGGCTTCCACCAAAGACTGAGTAACATGGTCTGTCAGATCGAACTTAGTAATCAGCGCACCTGAGAAATCAGGTCTACGCGACAAGGCATCCGCAACCTTGTTGTACTCCCCTTTCAGATATTGAGGGTCAAAGTCATATTGTTCAATGACTTCGATCCAACGCTTGAGGGCGTCAGAAAGTACAGGCTGGGTTCTCATCCATCTCAGGGTCTGATGATCAGTCTTGAGGATGAAGAATCTCCCAAGGAGATAGTGTCTCCAATGGGTCAGAGCCTTGTAAACCGCATAGAGTTCTTTCTCATAGGTGGACTTAGGCAACTTCTGAGACGACATTTTCTTGGACATGTACTCTACAGGCCTCAACTTTAGCCCCTCCTGCTGCGCGAGCACAGCGCCAATGCCATATTGGCTGGCATCCGTGGTGACTATAAACGGCTTGCCAGGATTAGGAAGTTTCAAGACCTCGTAGTGCGTCAACGCATGCTTCATATGTCTGAAAGCAGCTTCGCACTCATCTTGCCACTCCAATGGGGTGTCAAGGCGGGTCAGATCAGTCAAAGGAGCGACCAATATGTTATAATTCTTAACGAAAGTCATATAGTAGCCTGTCATTCCCAAGAAAGATCTCATCTCAGTCACAGACTGAGGACGTGGCCAATCACGAATGCTGGCCACCTTCGCGTCATCGGGCTTCAAACCTTCCGCGGAGATCTCATGACCCAAGTACAAGACACGGGTGCGGCCAAACTCGCACTTCTCTCCGTTGATCTTGAACTTGTGCTGTCGCAGGAGACTAAGGACTTTGTCCAAATGTGCAACATGCTCCTCGACTTACTAAAAATAAGTATGTCATCGAGGTACACGATGACAAACTTATCCAAGTAGTCATGGAATATCCGATTCATAGCGTGCAGAAAGGTGCCAGGAGCATTGCAAAGGCCGAAAGGCATCACCACAAACTCATACAGACCGTACCTGGTCTGAAAGGCGGTTTTGTGTTGATCCTCGGGCCGGATTGCAATCTGATGGTACCCTGACTTAAGATCTATCTTACTGAAGTACGGACACCCTTGCACTTAATCTAACAGATCATCGATGTGCGGTAGGGGCTCTCTATTCTTTACAGTGATGACATTGAGGCCCCTATATTCAATGCACATCCTAAGTGTACCCTCCTTCTTCTTAGGTACGAATAGTACTGGAGACCCATAAGGAGAGACACTCGGCCGGATCCAACCCTTCTCTACGAGTTCCTTGAGTTGGCGGCGAAGCTCATCAAGCTCGCCTGGAGACATCCGGATCCTACCCTTCGGGATACTAGACCCCGGGATAATCTCTATCGCGTGGACGACCTCCCTCTCAACAACCCCTGTTGGCTCTTCAAATAGATTAGGGTACTTAGCAACAACTCCCTCTATCTCCGGCGGCATTTTCACCGGCTCGCCTGCAGCAGAGACAGAGACTAAATACATACCCTCCTCCTGATTTTGCTTATAGTAATTGTAGAACGCTGCCGCACACATGCACCCATAGGACTCAATCAGACTACTAGCTTTGAACTTATGTAATCTGGCGGTCCCTCCACCTGGCAAATTGTGTTTGACCACTTTTCGGTCCCAATCAAACTGGGGCTGTGCCACAGAGAGGTAGTACATACCTAGTAACATATCCATTGGGAGCTCGTCACTCACTAGGAACGAGACACGATGTCTCAAGTCCCCTCCCGCGTACGGGAAACAACACTCAACATCCTGGAGGTAGTCATTGACTACCATGTGCTGTTTGTTGGCACAGGTCGACTCCACAGGTCGACTCAGGCGCTGCACTCGCCCTTGTAAACGCAGTCTCTCAACGCACTCGCGACTGATAAAGTTCCTAGTCGAGCAAGTGTCGTAATAGGCCCCGGCCTTGCGGCCGCCAATGACAACCTCGTTGACGAACATCTCACCCTTAGGGGCTTTGACTAGAGCCGTCCAAGAAGCTAGCGGATCTGATCTAGACCACTCCACCTCTAGCTCGTCGAAGGACTCGAACACATTCATCGAACAGAGGCTCGATGGGTCTGAACGTGTTTGCAGGACAACGCTGGAGTCAGTAGCTTGGGCCATCTCTCGAGATGGTGAGGGTGTCTCCACCACCTCGACCCTAGCAGGAACAGCTACTATTCCTACTGGCCCGACGTGTTTCCCGAAGCACTGCCAAAAGTACTGGCAACATTGCTACCAACGGGGTGAGAGGATCCCAACACCTGCCCCATCGTAGGCGGGATCTTTTCGGTTACCTTCTTATTGCGGCACTTGTACTGACTATGGCCGTATTGACCACAGCGAATACAGGCCTGCGGTGAGTACCGGTCTCTCCACACGTCCTCAGTGAGACCCGCTTTCTCCCATCGAGGACCGTTGGGGTCAACTTGACTCCTAGACCGGGAGCCTCCGCGGCGTCTACCGGTCGCCTTACCTTTCTGAGGAACGGCAGCGACTACTCCACCCTCTGAAGTTTCTACGCTGCCCGCCTCTGAACCTACTCCCTCCTGGGAGTGTTCGTCTACTTCGATAGTGGAACCATCATTATCGACAAACATTAAGCGACCCTTCACCTTCAAGTTAGGAGGCAGTGTCTTCTTCCTCCCATCCGTAGTGGGTGCCTGTCCGTGCCCTATCTTAGCTTCAAGGTCTAGGGCCATCTTGCTGAATGAAGGAAAGTTGTGCATATTGATGTTGGTCTCTTTTGCCAACTGGTTCCTGAGAGGCTAAGAAAAGCATCTCAAGTACGAGGTAAGCAGGACCTGGGGGTCATAGCGCACCCCTGGGACACAGATCAAACGCTCAACAACGTCGATGGCTTCCCTTACTGACTTGAACTGCCGCGTGTGCAGTGTCAGGATCGCATCAGTAGCCCTTTGGGCCTCCTAAGGATCATGCCACCTTTCTTCCACCATCTTTAGGAAATCCTCCAATTTCTGGGAGGCCGCCCAAGCGCGGAAGTCATGACCATACCCTTGGAGCTGCACTAAACCGCTCAACCATCTTGTTGCACTACCCTCTAGGTAGGAAGCAGCCACAAGCACTTCTTCGTGCGGCAAGGTAAGTTTGCACCTGACATAGACTGGCACTGACCTCAACCATGTGTCGAGGTCTTCGCCTCTCTTGTTCCCTGTGAAGGGTTTCCGAGCGGCGATGACCGTCTTTGGAACCACTGTGGTTGTCCCGGTCCCTGCACCACTCCGGGTTGTGGCCCCGGTGATACAGGCTGCTGTGCTAGCTGCTGAGGCTGTGTGCCCTGCAGCTGCACAGGCTGCGAGACAGCAGGCTGCTTGGTGACTGCAACCTGCAACGGAGTTTGGGTGAACACTGTCTGAACAGGAACCTGCACACTAGTCCCTGCTGATACCCCTCCTGACAACGGCATGCCCAGGGAAACGATCGCAACCGATGACGGGGCTACATATGGGGATACCCCTGTCACCGGTGGGACAGAAAAACGAGGATATGGCACGGGCCAGGCACCAGGCCCGGCTGGTGATGGTACCGCCTGAGCACGCCCTGCCAGAACGGCTAGGCTCTGTTGGATATCTTGAAGGATGGTAGTTTGATGCTCCTGCATCTCTATTACTCCTACCAGGGCTCTCCTAACTACCCTCACATCATCATCCATGTTCGTCAGGTCCATCGTCTCTCCTCTATGTCTGCCCCTCTCCGCTGCATCCTGGCTCTTCTTCTAATAATCTTCTCCTTCTCCGCTTTTATCTCTCCTAATGCCCGTTGTAGTTGTGCCTCCTGCAGGGCTGCCTGCTGGATGGCGACATCCTCTGGAGTCAACACTAGTGCCTGGCTTGCCATCACGCCAGTGGACTGACTCACGGTCTGCGCGACCGTTGACCCGACGATACTCGAACTGCTGGCCTGGGAAGTCTGTTGTGCAGAGGTGACCATAGCGGAAGTGGCCATGGCTGCTGTAGCAGTGGCCTCGCTAGCTAAAGCCCTGCTGGCCTCAGCTGCTCTAGCTCTCCTCTGCTGCTGCTGCCTCTCCCTAAGCTGGCGGAACAGATGTTTGTCGCCCTCTGGTCCTAATGCCAAATGGGCTACTGGGCGCCTTGCCGATCGCAAGATCCGGTCGTCCTCTCTAGTGTCCTCCTAGTCGCTCATATGCTACAGCACTGTGCACCGTCTACACTAGGTCATTCAAGATGCCTACCGCAACAGAGCGCACAGACCAATTTAAAATATTGGTGGTTATTCCGATGCAGATACATTCGGGTTCTAACAGGTAAGTACAAATTCCTACAAACGAAACTATTCTTAGTCTGACTAGTCCGCTAACAGAAGCACCAGGAACAATAAACAGTTCTAACTAATGCTGTCTGTCAGATGTCAATGGTTGTACACCTAACTAATCAAAACATAAAAATAGAGTCATTTGTGTGGATAGGACAACATGGAATTTTCTCGAACTTATCACCTGTAATCAACCCCTCCCTTAGTTCCCCTGAGTATCACTTGAGGTCAGTGCCCCTGAGCAATCTGGAGAGCGTTGCGTGTCTAAAGGTGTGTGTGTCCGGCCCACCCCTGTGCCCCGAGTATCTGCTGAGCTGGCCAGCCCTGCACTGGATTATCCTTGCGTGCAGCGAGCCTTACAACCATTGGCTGATCCAAAGGCAATTTAACGTCCGCCCCCAAGTGACTCCAGGAATTCTTTTACGTCGCAGTCGGACGACGATCACAACCAATGGTTCCCCTTCCGGTGCTTATTTAAAGACGCCCGGTCTCGTCTCCCTCAAGGGCTGGCCTGCCCAACAGTACCCATCTAACAGCGCAGCAAGCCGAACAAAGGACAAACAGCAAGGCATGCGTGCCCTACTCCCTGTGGGTTGGCATGGTGACCGTGACCCAGTGCTTCGTCCAGGGCCCTTCAGAAAGCTCCACCCATCCTCTCCTAGATGCTCCACTTGAACATTGCCGACTCTCAAGGTTGAGCGCACTCGACACCTCACAATGAGAGGACTCTCAAGAAGGAACACACAACCGCAGGGTAAGAAGTGTCGGAGAGGGTAGATAAGGTTAAGAGCAACGTACCTCAAAATAGCTGCCCCCAACCACAGAGATAATCTCACCAGATGACCAAATGGCGATTGCGATGACCAGTCACTGCATCGGCACAACCAGCATTATCTTGCCGTTCCACCTCAGCGTCAATCGCACATTAGATAGTTCTCATCACACTGCCCAGGCCACATTACCCCTTCGTAGCCTTCCTGGCGATCCCCTCACCTCTTGGCTCGCCAACCACTTGTCTCTGCCCTCCTCACTACACACTACTTACGACCAAACTCGCCAAGCAGACCACATATATGTACCGTACCCGGCAGAAGAGAAGCGCCAGATGAGCGCAATCGTACCACAGCTCCGATACCAAATTGCAAGGAAGATGAGCAATAGCGAACTTCAGCAATCAAACAGCATCATACATATGAGTCCAGATAGTCGTGACCTCGAACCAACAGCAGAATTGCATC